AACATTACATTAAATGTATTCTATGGGTTTTGAAATTTCAAAATTAATTCGTATATTTTGGACGAATAAGACCTTCGTGTTGACTCACTATAATGTCATACAGAGAAATACCCTCGATTTTACAATCTTGTAGAAGTTGAGATATGTGTCACAGTTTGAGAAGGGATGTTGCCAAAAGACGCAACCAGTGGGTTAGTGCTAAGACTGTAAAGGAAAGATTATGACAGAATCAGAATATTAGAAGATAGTGATAGACGTTATCTCCCTTATAATATCTGTCTACTACATCGTTGACACTGCTTATCACTTGCATTTTGCATACCGATAGTCCATTGGCCAATCACGCTATTTTACCGAGATTTCGCCTAATAGTTTGGACGCAGCTATGGCGGGTGTGGCGCCAGGCAGGGTAAGTTTACTCTTTCGGACACCTGTTACCACTGTTTGTCGTGTATTTTGTAAACAGTGAACAGTCCATATGCTGATTACACTGTTTTGCCTGATTACACTATTTTGCCATACCGTTTTTTTAGGACTTCGAATTTTGTCTAATGGTTTGGATTGTTCGTACTTGGTTTTATTTTATTTTATTAAAGCTTAATTAACAGCTTAAAACATCACACTATCATAAGATTTTAACATAAGTTATTAAAGTGGTGTGCACCTAGTCAGCCTAAAACATCACAATATTCAAAGATTATGACAGAAGTTATTAAACTGGTGTGCACCCAGACAACCTAAAACATCATAATATTAGAAGCCAGTGTATCTTCAGCGGGTTCGTGCTGCGACAGTAAATGAAATATTATATCAGAACCTATTAAAGTGGTGTGGGCCCAGACAACCTAATATATCACAAAATTAGAAGATGATGATAGAAGTTATCTTATCAAACTCCCTCATTGCCAACCCTCTCATTGCATACTCCGATATAGCCAACTCCCTCATAGCCAACTCCCTCATACCATACTCCCTCGTAGCATACTCCCTCATAGCCAACTCCCTCATACCATACTCCCTCGTAGCATACTCCCTCATAGCCAACTCCATCATAGCCAACTTCCTCATACCATACTCCCTCGTAGCATACTCCCTCATAGCCAACTCCCTCATAGCCAACTCCCTTATAGCATACTCCCTCATACCATACTCCATCATAGCATACTCCCTCATAGCCAACTCCCTCATAGCCAACTCCCTCATAGCATACTCCCTCATAGCCAACTCCCTCATAGCATACTCCCTCATAGCCAACTCCCTCATAGCCAATTCCTCATTGCCAACTCCCTCATAGCATACTCCCTCATAACCAACTCCCTCGTAGAAAACTCCCTCATAGCATACTCCCTCATAGCCAACCTCCTCATAGCATGCTCCTTCATAGCCAACTCCCTCGTAGCCAACTCCCTCATAGCCAACTCCCCCATGGCCAACACCAGGGCCCGGTTCCTAGAAAATTCTTAAAGTAAGCACAAAGTCAAGTTTCTCTTTTTCTTACGTAAGAAACTTATAAAAATACCGTCCCTAGAAAATTCGCAAGACCATTCTTACGTAAGCACAAGTCAAGTATAAGTCTAAGCACATTGTGACTGGTAAAGTTTACCATAAACTGAGACTACGATGCTCTTTAACGTCATAAAAACAACTTTGATATGCGAATTACGTCATAAATGTGTCGTCTGCTTCATTGACGCCATATAATATGGTTGATTTAGATGCATTTGGCATGTCCCCTATAGGCTACACATATAAAATGTGCCACAAGATAAAAAAAAAAAACACAGACACATACAACCCAGCTGAATAATTGTGATCTTAAAGTAGCCTGTGTGTTTGTAGCCTATCGTTTACTAATTGGCAAATAAATAAAATGGTTTCAGGGTAGATGCGAAATTTTCTATATCCTAGCCTTAGGCCCCCTAGCATTCTTAATTTCTTCCGGAGAAGGATTTTCTCTGTCTTGTAATTGTCTCTTTGGTATCAAAAGGTGTCGGAAATGCCCGCGATTAACTTTACGGTCAGCCATCTTTTTCAAGCAGAAACAGACTTAAGGTTGGTAAGCAAGCCGTATACCTTGCTTGGGACTAGTGCTTAGATTGACTATGTTTAAGAACAAAGTTGTGCTTAAGTTTTTTCTTGGAACGCATAATAACGTTCTTGTGCTTACAATGAAGTCTACTTAAAATCTAAGGACAAGAACGTTCTTAAGAATTTTCTGGGAACACAAAATAAGGTAAGTTTACTTAAATGCAAATCTACTTAAAATCTAAACACAAGAACGTGCTTAAGAATTTTCTAGGAATCGGGCCCTGCATACTACATCGCATCGATTATTTTGATTGGTACAGAAAAGTCCAACATTTAATCTCATTTTATTTCAGTCACAAAAAGGCATTTTATACAGTATACCTTTTATACTCGATTTCCTTTCATTTCAACTCATTTTCATTTTACAATTGGATAATCACTAGTTACCAACAGTCCGCCATGTTGTCATCGTTTCGGTGGACGTGACGGAAAGGAACTAGTTAACAATCAATAGGGACGTGACCGACGGCCTTGTTTTGTTCATATTGTTTTAGAAATGTCCTTTGAAATATGATATTCTTATATTTGCCCTAAGGCCACAGTGGTGATATATCAACGGAAATAATATATAGATTTATCTATATTTGCCTTGTATTTGTCGATTAAAATGAGATTTATTTTCAGTAGTCCACGACTATAACACGAATTCGTTTCCCGTTAGATCACGTATCTGGGATGTATGTGAAGTAGTGCGTTTCATATATAAGATACGTGCTCTCTCCATCTCTATTTCGGGGTGGCTGACCGAATTGTTAGAGCATGCGCGTTGTATCATAAGCTCCGTCACTGAGTCAACTTGCGTGGTTTCGATTCCCCGGTTGTACGTGACAAGGAGTAGGGTCGCCTGTCGAACCTCGTGGGTTTTCTCCGGCTCCTCCGGTTTCCTCCCACTGCTAAAAACCCCTACACAAAAGCGAGCAATAAAACTGAACCACATGTTAGTCCCAAAATGACCTAGTTTATGTCGAGTGGATGTTAAACCCCATTTCTATCTCTACTTAAGAAACAGGGGTTTTAATTAGTTAATCGTAAATCTGTCATCATTTGTAATGGACGTATAGGTGTTTTGGCTTTTTTTTGTTCCTTAAAGAACTTGTATATTTAAAGAGCATCTACATAAAATAAGCAATTCTTTATTAAAAAAATAATGTGCAAACATTGATAAATCGTCCCACCCATCGAACAGAAAACCCTAAAATTATCTGTAATCAAACCCCCTCTTTTACAAGGAACTTGTACATAACTTGTACATTTAGAAAACATTTCAATAAAAAAAAACTCTAATCATAAACGATGGAGGTTTGACTTGAAATTCATAATTTAGAAAAGAATATATAAAATGGAATCTACAATAAAAAAAAGATATAATAAACAACAAGATAAATAATAAAATATACAGCATAGGTAATAAATAATCAGCCTGAAACATATTCTACAAATAAGGTAAAACATTACACCCCCCCCCACCCCCGACTACTACTCCCCTCAAAATATGAAATAAACAAATAAATTTATCCACCCCTTCTCCAAATAACATAAACATAAACAATGAAAGTGCCGAAGTGCTGTTTTCCAACACTAACGACGAAAACTCAGATAAATAGTTAAAATTGTACTTTTAATAAACGAGTATCCAAAACTGGTTAACGGTCACAATAACGAGATAGGTATCGCTAGGGCGAGCCGGTCAACATACTAAAGTTACAGTAGAATATGGAACATATATACAAGCTTAGGATTAAAATAATTATATAATAATAATTGACCAGAAATGTTAAATTGTACATAAGAAACAGATGTTTAAATACAGAAGATATGGACATAGCAAGGACGCGTGTTAACTAGAATTACATCCCACTTCTACTCGTTGCCACTGGCAACCTTTGATAAAACTGTCCTGTTTAATTGCAATACATGCTTAAAAGTATCCGTGTATCAGAAATGTACAGAAAGAGTACTGATCATTTCTAATACACGGATACTTTTATACCGCTTTAGATATCTATCAAGCAATAAGTAGCGGACGTTTAGTCCGACCCAGATCGCAATTGATAACGAAGCTCTAACCAATGTACATGAAACAACTAGTCAAAATCATAGTAACAACACAAAATGGGGGGAACTACATGGCAGTTCAAAAACATATACAATGACATTAAATTAACATAACAACATATTACAAAAATCAATTATTATACATACCAATTGGCATCTATTTCATAATTTGGTTTGATTTATATTAATATGCAAAATATATAAATTAGAATATTGAATAATTTTTTTAATTAATTGTGATGATAGAAGGCGCAGTTCTCTTGCTGGACACTTCACAGGCATTGAAAATAAGCAGGATGAAAAAAAAACGCCTAGAAAGTCATAAACTTTATTACAAATAAATTTCAACGGAAGAACCATCCGCCGATGCATACTTTCACCAGGAATGACCCACGTTTCGCATTTCCTTTACACTACATTTAATAATATCGCAGTCCTCTACGCCATAGCCATTGTTTTGACGATGTGGTCTAAACAAACACGTGATTGTTTTACGCTCAGAGTATCATAGCAAGACGCACGTGTGAATACTACTCAGGTCGTCTCTCAACTGCGAAATCATTCTACCATGAAATGTAACGTGAGGCTCAGAAAGGGATAAATAATGAAAGAACAGAAAGTATTTGTCACTTTTCGGTTGAAACGACTCGATAATAAATACTATTTTTCACATTTTGCTTCACAATACTCGATAGAAATGTGATGTAAGTAACTTATTAGCACCTTTCCTCGGTGTATCGGTGAATATCAGGACAGTTTTGGTCGGGAGCCGCCTCGGCTCCGACTCGGCTGGGCCCCTCGACCAAAACTGTCCTGATATTCACCGATACACCGAGGAAAGTGTGCTAATAACTACTACTTACATAATATATATCGTTACATTAAGTTTAAAACCAAACAGTTAAAAGACTTGAAAGATTAGCGAGATATCAATTCGGACATTGGTAAATTGCTATTTTGACTAAAATTAAATAGTAATAAAATATATACAAAGATACACTGTAACAAAAGTATTAATTTATATAAAATTGTGCGTCCGTTTACCTTTAAAATCTTTAGATTGCCAGTTAAATGAAATTTGTGATATACTTATATTGTATTCAACAGTTGATATTAAAAATAGTTTGTATAGAGAAATTAAAATTTTATCGTGCAATAACAGTAGAGTTCAACGCCATTCAAAAGTTTATTTTAACATAAATCAAAGCCGTCCTATTAGTAGTCATTCTCTGTTTTCTTGCCTAAATCAAAGCGATTTACTTCAGAAAATCTTGAGATTCCGTTGTTTTAGTAAATAGTCATTCTCTGTTTTCTTGCCTAAATCAAAGCGATTTACTTCAGAAAATCTTCAGATTCCGTTTTTTTAATAAATAGTCATTCTCTGTTTGGTAATTCATCTGGACTAATATTATTTCACTTGGTCAGTTTGGTACGAGCTTAAATATAAATAAAATGAATTAAACAGCGAAGAAAAAGATTCATTTTTTTGTATGTTCATTAAAACGCCTAGAAACTACCAATCGGGTATGTGTTCTCTAAGGTAGGGTCAATTCTTTACTACAGCAGTCACTCAAGGGAATTATCGTGACTGACCGCTTAACAGTTAGTGACCTCTTGATTAAAATCTCAGTGTGTGTTAGAGCTGATATCATATTTTACACATTGGACGTATCCGGAGCCAACATTGACGCAGTGGTAAATCTGACCGTCGTTGGAACTCGATGTATCTCAAAGGTGGTGCACAGGGGATCTAAAATTTATCGTCTTGCCATGCTGTCCAAAATGCTAGAGGGAATGGGTTTAGTTGATTTAAAAAAAACCAAGTAAAAGATGCATTTTTATGTTCAATTCAAAATGGTTCCTGAAATATGTATGGTAGTGATAATAAGAAACAACACGGTGCACTTGGGATAATGCTATTGACCTGACAAGTAACAACTGCCCTTGATAATAAAAACTATAAAGAGTAGGCGGGGACGCTGTTGCTCAGGCTCAGTTTTTCTCTCCAGCGATTAACTCGTGACTGACTAGGTTAGCTTTACAATAACCAGCGAGTTATCTCCTCTGTATTAAAATGTGAAGCGAGCCACTCGGCAAACCTCAGCAGATTCCAATACCCTACATCTAGCCTCGGCTGTATGACGAAGTCCGCCACTGGAACTACTTTCAAGTTCCCGGATTACCAACGGCGTTGCCCATGTCGACGTCTTTGAAGAATGTTTTATCATACAAATATTTCAAAGTCTGAAGCTGTTTTTCTTTCAAGTTTATCCGATTTTCGTCAAACAAGGACAACTTTGCACTGAAAATTCAAAACACGCTTTGAACGACGCAATTTTGATAACTTCTTTTTTGAAAGCGGCAAGTTTTCCTAATAAGTAAACCGGTGCTGCATCGCAGTTGTACAGGCGTAGGTACATATCGCTTACCGTCATACAGCCGAGGTTAGATGTAGAGCAACGAAATCTGCCGAGGTTTGCCGAGTGTGAAGCGAGCGTGTCACCGGAAAAATTCTTTCGAAAATAAAAATATCGCCGTTTTATTAGTCCTGCAGGAGCAAAACAGTGGGATGTTAAACCTCATTTCATTTCTTTCGAAAATATAAGATTTTAATTTTTGAAGTGCCAATACCTTTCTTTATTGGTTTCTTCATACCTTGGTTTCCACCATTTTTATTCTTTGATGTATCATAATCAGCGCTTATATACAAATCATTCTCCATTATTTCCATTTCTGGTTTCGTCTTCATTCCATTTCCACCATTTTGATTCTGTGACGTATCATAATCAGCGCTTATATACAAATCATTCTCCATTATTTCCATTTCTGGTCCCGTCTTCACCCCGTTTCCATCCGTCTGATTCGTATCATAATCAGCGCTTATATACAAATCATTCTCCATTATTTCCATTTCTGGTTTTGAGGAAGCATCTTAAATAAATCAAACAAAACAATCTTGATTAAAAGAAAATGAAATAAACTCAGCAGGGGACACAAAAATACAACTAAAATATAATAATATAGCTTCGATCTACCTGATGTCGGACAATCGTACCAAGGCAGCGACAGAATCGAACTGTCCAATCAGAATATTTGTTGACACCATATATTGTGTGTCGATGTTTAATTTGCATGTAATTGGTTCTTTCAAATACTAATTATTTGGGGAGTAATTTCTTTAATGTAAGTATGGTGGAACATCTGAAATATGGGGCGTCACGATGGCTAAGTGGGTAAGTCGTTGGCTCGCTAGCCTGGAGGTCGGGTGTTCGATCCCTGCATTGACTGAGAAAGTTCATCCAGATTTTCTGGCGTGGTCCCACCTTGTCAGTGATGCAGGACGGAGGGCCTGACAGGGACAGCTGTCTAGTTATTCGGATGGGACGAGAAATCGAGGTCTCGTGTACATATTGCGTGCACGTAAAAGATCCCTTGACAGTTGGAATTCGATATAAGAGTAGGCCGTAGTGTCGCTGTCCGGGCAAAATTGCCCTCATAGCACACTGCATTGCATATGCCCGTCTTCATTATCCCTGTTCGGAGCAGAACAGTAGGACGTTAAACCCCGTTTCATTTCATTTGTAATAACGAAATGTTGAACCTGGGTCTACCTATCAAGTAAACGATAACGAAATATTGAACCTTAGAATAACGTATGTAATAACGGGTACTAAAATATCAATGACTGTAGTCTCAGCCCAATTTTGGAACAGCAAAAATCTAAATTTCTGTAATGCTAATAACAATGTGGCATTCTGATTATAATTCGGTGTGTGTGCGTGAGGGGGGGGGGGTGTTAGACATTTACCTCTTCGTTGAGTGATCTTGTTTATCGGAGTGTAAAGGACCTGTAGAGTGGTGGAGGATCGTGATTAATAATAAAACTTAATTTACCTCTTCGTTGAGTGACCTTGTTTACGGGAGTGTAAACCACCTCCACGTTGTTCTGTTGGGGTGTCGGTGTATCACCACTAATATATAAATCATTCTCCATAATCTCCATTTCACGTTGGGGCGGGTCGTCCTGAACCGTTTCTACAAGAACAAGATCATCCCCATTAAATATATTCACAATACAATATTGTACCCAGAGGTCAATTAAATTCCTCAGTTCATGATGGGACTATCACGAAGCGTACAAGAACACGAGCCTCGTCAATACATATATTCACATTAATCCATGATTGTATCAAACTGACAATCACATTCTATGTCGATACATACCAGTGAAAGTAGTATCAGGTATTTAAAAAGAGGCATACCCTGAATCGCGCACGACATATGCATCATACTCTACGATTATCATGTTAGGATATAAACAAGTCTGAAATCAATAGTTGGCCGTCGGAGTTAATATGATATCTTGTTTACTTTCAATCTTTGTTCCTGGGTACTGTTTACTTTAATATAGTTGAACCAATTTCTTTCTATTACAAAAACTAGCAGAAATCTGACCTTTTTGATTACGTCGATGCCTTTTGACTAGCACAACAATAATAATCACCACAATGATGAAAAACAAACCAGAGCCACCACCAGCTCCAATAAACACAAACATATCTTGTCTCTTGTCAGGAGAATCTGAAAATTGGAAGAGGTGTTTAAAATAGGGGTTCGTTCAAACCCGAGCTCTCGGCTACAAATTGGTTGAGATCATTTGGCCATCAGAGAGCGCCAATGTCCGTCCATATTTCCAATTCCATGACATTGCACAGATATTCATACAAATAATACTTATAAATCTATAAATTATAATCCATTTAAGTCTAACTATTAGGGGAAACACGGTGGCTAAGTGGGTTATAAGACGCTGGATCGCTAGCCTGTCAGTGGAGCAGGACGCATTCCCCAACAAACTGTCTAGAAACCGATGTCCTGTGTATGCATTGGCGTTCACGTAAAGGATCCCTTGGCAGTTGGAATTCGATAGAAGAGTAGGCCATAGCGCGGGTCCCAGAACAAGATTCCCCCCAGAGCACACTGTATGGTTTGGCTTAAACCCCATTTCATTTCTAAGTTTTAAAATGTTTACCTTTATCGGCATCATTAACCGAGTCTTCGACTTCAACTAAAAGATGAAAGGGTGAATTACTTTTTTTTAATGCCCTACACCACCACATACATTAAAGATGAAAGAGTGAGTTACTTATGTTAATGCCCTACACCGCCACATACATTAAAGATGAAAGAGTGAGTTACTTATGTTAATGCCCTACACCGCCACATACATTAAAGATGAAAGAGTGAGTTACTTATGTTAATGCCCTACACCACCACATACATTAAAGATGAAAGGGTGAATTACTTTTTTTAATGCCCTACACCGCCACATACATTAAAGATGAAAGAGTGAGTTACTTATGTTAATGCCCTACACCACCATATACATTACAGATGAAAGGGCGAATTACTAATTTTAATGCCCTACACCACCATACATTACAGATGAAAGGGTGAATTACTCATTTTAACGCCTGCTGCCCCAACCAGGGTGATATAGCAGACAAGAGTGTCCTGGTAAGTTTAAACTGGGTTCAATATGGTTTCACTGAATAGCCTGGTATCAACGATTCATACATCGACACCAAAACAAACTTACACTTACATTCAACGTTGGACCAATTTAACCAGTTAAAGTCAATACTACTTTGGGGTTGGTGGTTAATTTGGCTAAATAGTTCATGACATTGAACAATGTTTAAAACATGTTAGTTATGTCTAAAAACAATAAATAAATGTTCTAATTAAATCAAATGTGGCAACTCATGAATTATTTATAAAAAACTGAATTTTACAATTTAGCTGATTGGCGCCAAGTCAATATCATTAATTTGGCTTTGCAGAAAAAATGCACTTGGCCTGGTAGTGTTATCCACATTGTTCCAAGCATCTCAGGAACAGGAAAATCCAAAGTTTGGCTGTAAAGCAGAAATGTATACAGGTACCACGGTCGAGTCAGGACCACACTGATCCGCAGTGAATATTTGCTAGGCCTCTACAATCACTGATAAGGATGACATCGATGCGGCTTAATGAGTCAGAAATATGAACTTTTTTCCTGCGACAAATTAAATTCTAAAACATTTTTTTTATGTATTGGAAAAATAAATAAAGGCGTTTGACGTATTTGTAGGTAAAAATTATTTCCTATTTAGTGTAAATGGGTATTAAAATAACTAAAATGCAGCATTCTCTCCGAAGCAGTAACGTCTTATGTAAAAAATGCAAACGCCATTCAGCCAATGATTGACGCCGCGTGCTGTGACAGCACGTGTTAAGGCAGTCATCTTTGACAGAGATATATCACTAGACTTAGGGTGACCCACCATAAATAAATATCTCCATATATCTCGACAATTTCGCCACAATATTTATATATATGCCAAGCCTCAAATCAGTTTCACACAATTATAGTCACTAAATAAACGATCATGTTGTACTTAATAAGCTATGACCATTAATCATCTATAAATAATAGACTGAAAACTGGTTCCATGTGTCGTCCATAACATCCAGACACTTTTGAGTAAAAGATAGGTTACGTGCCCTTGTTTTGAAATTAGAGTCGCTAGAACAAGAAATTGAATTAAGAAATGAGCACGTTAGCTAGCTCAACAATTGTTTTAAGAAGCTTGTAAAAGTAAAATGAAACTACTGCTAGTATCATGTTCCTGTCTAACCCGAGTGTTTCAGAGATAGTATGTGTACTAAACCAAATGATGCCGCTCTTAACGGTACAGTTAATGATAAAGCGATTTAAAAAATGAAACGAACGTAATTTCTAAATCTGCTGTAATAACCAAGAAGCTTAATTTTACTGCTATTCAAAATCGTCAACAATAATTTTTTTACGGCTGTAATAGTTGATAGATTTGTAGAGAATTGCACGTGCCATGGCTATTTATAGTATCATACTGTCAGAAAGTTGGCCTCGACACGGCGAATGTGCACGCTTCAGTGGTAGTCTCGAACTATCAGCGGTTGACTGTATTTCTGTAGGTGCATGGGCCACCCTACTAGACTCGTAATTCTCTGTGAAACAGATTGAGTCAGGACTAGTTAGAGCGCACCAGTGTCTACTCCACAAGATTGCGAGAGAGAGAGAGGGAGAGAGAGAGGGTGGGGGGTATAACTACCACTCGATACAGACCAGGTCATTTCGGGACTAACACATGGTTCTTGCGCATTCGGGTCTTTAGCAGTGGGGGAAACCGGAGGACCCGGAGAAAATCGACGAAGTAGGACAGGTAGACCCCACTCCTTGTCGGGGAATCGAAACCACGCCAGATGACTCAAATGACAGACCGTATGATACAGCGCACACGCGCTATCCCCCCCCCCCATGAGATTTATTTAAATAAAACTTATAATAAGTAAATTATATTATACTCCATGAATGTCCAAGTTTTAAAATGTTTAAAACATTTACCTTTATCAGTATCCTTAACCAGGTCTTCATCTTCAACTAAAAGATGAAAGGATGAATTACTACAGTCGTCATGGTTACATATAAAACATTGATACCATCCTTCATCAGATACCTGTACAGGTGTAATTGTTATCAATGTTCGACTGTATGGTATTAACACAGTTTGGTTGTAGTCGTGAGGAATAGTAACTTCTAATCTTCTAATATCAATACGACTGGATCGTTCTAGCCTATTGTTGTCTTTAAACCACGTGATGTTACTGTTGCTTCCGGTGATAAATATTTTACTTATATTATAATTAGATCCCACTCTGACAGTCTCGTTAATGAATTCAGTATCATTTTTATAGAACTCGATTGAAGCTGAAAAATATAAGTGTGAGATGCACTATCTACGTCACTTCCGGGCATGAGTGGACTGAGAAGGAGCCTTTGAGTATTTTAGATTCCGGGGACCTTAAAGATTTAATTTTCTCACATATTATGGGGGTCCTGTTTTAATCTGGGGGCCCAGTGTTAGCGCCTGGGGGGGGGGGGCTGTTTTAAGTTTGGATACCCCGTTTTTAGTTTGGTGTCTTTTTTTAGTTTTTAGAAATTACGATTTTTGTGATGAATTGGTAAAATTGCCACACGCTGAATTTATGCATGAGCAACTTCAATTATACTCTAGAAACCCCCACACCCCACCCTATCCCCTTAAAATGGAACCCCCCAATCCGCCCCTGATCCCTGGTAATATTCATAATATACACTGCAAACAAACAAATTAACTAAGAAATATGTAATGTTAGTAGTAAGCGCATGCGCTGTCCACGTTTATATGTCAATAGCTTCCTGCATAAACTATGGACGACACTTCCACCTAGCGAGAGGACAAGATTATACCAAAAATTCTAGGCCTCAATATGAACTTGCAGCCAGTAAAAAGCGCATGCGCTGTCCTTACCAGTTGAAGGAATCGTCGTATTTGCGGTATGATTATACATCTCTCCATTTCTACTGTAACTTCCGGAACAAACATAAACTCCTCTGTTTTTATATAACTGAGTTGAGATGTTGAGGTAGTAGATAGAAGTATCCCCATTCTCCAGATAACCGTTGACCTCTCGTATCAATACGCCATCCAAGAAATGCTTCCATGGTGAAAATGTGTAGTTATTCGGTTGACCATCTACTTCACATTTCAGAATTATTTCATTGTCAGTAACATTATTCACGTGTAGTGACATTGTTGTCGAATCTTAAATGAAATGAAAATGGGGTTTAAAGTCCAACTTTCTGTACCGTATCGACAGAGCTAATGAAGGCGGGAATACACTATACAGTGTGCTACGGGGGACAATTTGCCATGGCCATGGCGCTACGGAATGGTATCATATCGAATTCCAACTGTCAAGGGTTATTTTACGTGCACGCTAATGTGTAGACGGGACCTCTACATTTAAATATAAACATAAGTATTACATGCATGCTATAATCACATTTAAATTATTACGTGTATTCTATATTCAGTCATATGTAACCATAATTATTACGTGTATTCTATATTCACAGTTAAATGTAAACATAATTATTACGTGTATGCTATAACCACAGTTAAATGTAAACATAAGTATTACGTGTATTCTATATTCACAGTTAAATGCAAACATAATTATTACGTGTATGCTATACCACAGTTTATGTAAACATAAGTATTGCGAGTAAGCTATAACCACAGTTATATGTAAACATAAGTATTACGTATATGCTATACCCACAGTTAATTGTAAACATAAGTATTGCGTGTATGCTGTAACCACAGTTAAATGTAAACATAATTATTACGTGTATGCTATAATCATAGTTAAATGTAAACATAATTATTACGTGTATGCTATAATCATAGTTAAATGTAAACATAATTATTACGTGTATGCTACGATCACAGTTAAATGTAAACACAATTATAACGTGTATGCTATAATCACAGTTAAATGTAAACATAAATATTACGTGTATGCTATATTCACAGTTAATGTAAACATAAGTATTATAGTATGCTATAACTACAGTTAAAATTTAAACATAATTACTACGTGTATGATATGACCACTGTTAAATGTAAACATAAGTATTACGTGTATGCCATGGCAACCATTAAATGTAAACAAAATTATTGCGTGTATGTTATATTTACAGATCAATTACATTAAAGGCTCGATGCGTCATTTAGCGCTATATGAATCCTTTGTAAACTACAATATTGTGAAACGTTGATCTCTAATAAGAATATCAGCCATTCCGAGTGTCACAAGACGCCGCCATCTTATATTGTCTAGCGTTGGTAGTTTGATTTTGTTTTCGTAACTAAATGTTGAATAATCAATCCGTGGTGTAAGTCGTGAGAAATTTCATATTTCAGCGAAAAGGCAAATGACGCATCGAATCTTAAAACATACATTATGCAAGAGCTAAATCTGCCTATTGCAGGTCTTTCTATAGGCCTGAAATGTTATATAAACTATTAATTAGACATTTATAAACAAAACAAGACCATAATCAAGTCTCGGTGGCATCGGATACTCGAGATTTTAACTAGATTAGAACGATTTGCCATTTAAACATTTAAAAATGGGATAGCGAGGCTAAGTCTTAAATATACCAGTGCCCTGGTTACCACAATGCACACATCTTGTCAAAACTTCAAACAGTGATAACTTGACTCACAATCAAGTAATTACATTATTTATTTTTGAGCTATTATAACAAGAATGGTCAGCTCTTTATCTAAATCTTACATAATGTATCTTTAATGTTGTAAATGCTATTCAACTGGATGAAAAAATCTTTATCATATTTTAGTAACAATAGATTTTTTTCAAAATTTGTTACATACGACAAATATAATAGGAGTCAACTCTGCTATAATATTAATATATAGACGTGGGATTTTAAACTTAAAACTAGTAGGTTTCCTGGCATGTATTTCCTGTACTTGACTCACTGGGTAGTAAGATCCGCGTTTACTCATGTTGATAACAGTAATATCCTACAACACCATGTAGATTTAGAGTCAGTCAGTCAGTGAGGTTTAACGCCTGTTTCTACCTAGGCGGGGGGGGGGGGGGGTCACAGTGGTTAAGTGGGTAAGACGCTGGCTCGCTAGCCTGAAGGTCGGATGTTCGATTCCTGCATTGGCTGAGAAAGTTCATCCTGATTTTCCGGCGTGGTTCGCCCTTGTCAGTGATGCAGGACGGAGGGCCTGACAAGGACGGCTGTCTAGTCGTTAGGATGGGAAGAAAAACCGAGGTCCCGTGTACACATTGACGTACACATAAAAGATCCTTTGACAGTTGGAATTCGATATAAGAGTAGGCCGTAGTGCCGCTGTCCGGGCAACACCCCCCCCCCCCCCCACACACACACACTTTAGCACACTGTATGGCGTATGTCCATTTTCATTAGCCCAGTTCGGAGCAAAACAGTAGATAGTTAAACTCTATTTCATTTTATTTCATTTCTACCTAGGGTGATATCGCGGAGCCAAACAATAAGTTCATCTCGCATAGTTTGGACGAAAAACCGAGGTCCCATATACACATTGGCGTGGCCGTAAAAAATCCTTTGGCAGTTGGAATTCGATATAAGAGTAGGCCGTAGCGCCGCTGCACGGGAAAAAATTCCCTCATAGCACACTGTATGGCGTATGGCCCAGTCTAGGAGCAGAACAGTAGGACGTTAAAATCCATTTCATTTCATTTCTTTGTCACGTTATGGGAGTCGACTCACTAATTAAATGGAATGAAATGGGATTTAACGTCCTACTGTTGTTTTCCGTCCCTTTTTGCCATTTTGAATGTTCACTTTCTTTTGTTTGTTGTTGGTTACAGCAACGAAATACTGATTGGATTCCGTTACGAGTTGTGTTTTCTACTTGAAAACTAGACGAAAATATGAATATCTCGTATATTCCGTAAACACGACATCAATCACGTGCGATATTTCAATATGGAGTCCTCAAAGCATCATATTACTACAGTTACATCTAAGTCGTTCTGCACACAGAGATCTATCTGCTTTGGAGATAGATGTCTGCTTTAATTAATGGCCGCCTTGTTGAACAACGTGTGTACTATATATTATGTGGTTCACATTTTCGTATAATTCGGATGGAAACTACCCAATAAATGTGGCCTGCAAGAAATTTACCAACAAATCTTTTTCTACAAGAAACTTACCTAATACTTGTAACTTTATAATTGTTGATCTTTCAACGCGATTACTGTTATTAGCTTTACAGTATAGTTCTGACCCGTCCATCTCCATGGTAACAGTTAAAGATGTCTCCAGGTAATAACCTGTTGTTTGTTGTATACTAACACCCTTTTTATACAAACGAATGTTTGGTGCTGGCGAGGCGCGCTTACTAGTTTCACACCCTATTCGTAAAACTTCACCATTTTTTATTTGAATTGTGTCGTAGGTAAGTCGATAGGTTGTTGATTCAAAGCTGATAGATACGTTTTGAACGGGTATTGATACTGAAAATTAAAATAATTTCAAACATATCTGACCGTTTCCTTTCTGGAATAAAGAAGTAAATAGTGTCAGAAGACCAATCACCGACGAAGACGTGGTCACGAATAACATCAGCTCATTAACCTTTGTTGAGGTAACTATTTCCTCAAAATTGCGAACATAAAAACCATCATACAAGTGGTCATTATTCTAAACAAATCTTTAGTATGTAGAGAGAGAGAGAGAGAGGGAGAGAGAGAGAGAGAGAGAGAGAGAGAGATGGGGTTTAACGTCCACTCGATACACACTCGGTCATTTCGGGACTAACATATGGTTTAATTTTATTTCAATAATTCGCTTGCCCGTAGGGATATTTAGTAGGGGAGGAATCCGGAGGACCCGGAGAAAACCCACGAGGTTGGACAGCCCACCCTACTCGTCACAAACTAGGTCATTTCGGGACAAACACATGGTTCAATTTTATTTCAATAATGTGCTTGCGCATAGGGCTCTTTAGCAGTGGGAGGAAACCAGAGGACCCGGAGAAAACCCACGAGGTTGGAAGGTTATTTTGGAACAAACATATGGTTGGACAGGCGAAATAACACCATTCAACGCAATGGCAGATCTTATGATCTAAAGCGCACGTTTTACACGGTCAATGTAATTATAATTACAAATATATAAGTCATAATTGCATTTATGCTAAATAATTATTTACTTTTCGTTGTTTTTACTGTAAAATTCCTGGAATATTCTGGAAATCCAAAGTGTTTACATCTCCACTGAACGCCATTATCTTTAGTCTGGTCAACAGATTTAATGATCAGCTGATGTTGTTTACAATTTAATTCATATAAAATAGTTTAATCTTATGTTTACAGTAAACAATGGTGGACAAATGTATAGGTAGTGAGTTATAACATATATACATATCTTGGAGTGTAATGTTTAGATATATATTATAATTACATTTAAGGTTATGAAAATATAAAAATAATACATAATGCAGACATAGTTTTAATAATTAAAGCTTCAAAACCGCTTGCTATCTTTTATAAATTTTTGCACTATTACAAATATTTTAGAATTGGTATCATCTGAAAGATCGGTGTTGCCATATAAAATTAGATCCATTGTAACATTAAGTTTAAGCTGGTGTATATTATTTTGGAGAAATGTTCTTCTGGCAGAGTAGGCTGGACATATGAAAAAATAATGGTAATTATCTTCGTCTGTAGAATTACAATTAGGGCACGCTTTTGTTTCACTCAGAAAAGGGTGGAATAAGTGATTATTTAAGTTACTAGCTTTATTTCTTAATTGACAATGAATAATATTCTCTTTTCTATTTCCAGTAATATAGTATAAGGGTGGTCTAATTAAAGGATATACACGTGTAAGGCCTGATTTAAATGTACTTAACGTTTGTGAGTTTTTAATAAGTTCTGGTAGATTGTTCCAACGTTTAATTGTACAGGGAAAGAAGCTATTGAAATACGAATTGGTTTTACAAAATGGTCGATTGAGGTTCTGATTTTCATTACGAAGGTTATAATTGGATACTAATGGTTTAAATTTGTTAAAGACTTCAGACAGATGGCTGGGGCATAGGTTATTTTTTATTTTATATAGATATATTAATTTGTGCTTTGTTCTGTGATTTGACAGTGGTTCCCATCCCAGTTCTCTGTATAAATTGTTTTAGATGAATTTCTTCTAAGGCCAGTTATTATTCTACCCGCTTCAGTTTGAACACTTTCTAGTAGGCCAGAATCATTCATTAAGCAGTTATCCCATACAATATCAGCATATTCTAAAATAGGGCGAATAAAAGCAAGATATATTTTATTAAGCGAAATTCTATTAATTTTATATTTTAGTATACGCAAAATATTTAGACGACCGCAAGCTTTCTGGTATATATTTGAAATATGATTTAAAAATAATAATGCATTAGACTGAAATGTTAATTCCAAATGACAATGAGTATTTACGTTTTCAACTTTTGTATTTTCGAAGATAACGTCTGGATGAATTGTTTTTTTCCTAGTAAAAATAATATTTTTGGTTTTATTGGGGTTAAAAGTTACACACCAATGTTTAGCCCACGATGCGATAATATTAAGATCTTTATTTATAGTGTTCGCACTACTTAAAGGGTCATTATGAATAATGGTAAAAACGGACCAAGTACACTTCCTTGGGTAACTCCAGAATCGGTATGCAAATAATTTGATTTAAAACCTTCTAAAACTACACATTGTTATCTATTACTTAAATAGTGTTCAATCCATTTACATATTATTTGATTAATTCCATATTTTGATACATCACAAAATATAAATCGAATTTGCTTTCCTGTATCAAGGTTACTTATTATAACATCATAAATTTCTAAAAGTTGATTTATTGTGGAATCGTTGGGTTGAAAACCAGACTGATATAGCAGGTTATTTTCTTTTATAAAATTATAAAGATTTTTAAATAAGATTTTCTCTAGTATTTTACATAATGAGCATGTTAATGAAATTGGTCTATAGTTGTCAGGGTAATGCGGATCACCCTTTCCTTTATACGCTGCAATGATATGAGAAGTCTTCCAAATATCAGGTAATAATTGGCGTTCTAATGAAAGATTAAAAAGTTTAGTGAGAGGTCTTGTGATTAACAGAGTTATCTTTTTAGCACAGCTGGGCTGATGTTATCGGGACCAGAAGGCTTTGAACAGTTAAGAATCAGTAGCTGAACTTCTTGTTCACTTACAATAAATTGATGTAATTCGTTGTTACTGCGAGAAGCAAAATTTGGGAGGTCAGGTACACCATTTAAATATTCTGAAATCGAGGCAACATAAGAGTTTAGGATATTTGCTTTATCAAGTGGGTGTGTGTAAACGCAGTTTTCAAATAATAATGGCGAGGTGGGTACCTTTTCATTATCAACATTTGAAATAGATTTAGCTATTTTCCACCATATATTTGGAGGCAAGGTTTTATAATTTATTTGTTGTTCTAATTTGCCTTTAAACTTATTTTTAACTCCCCTAATTAATGTTATTACTTCATTTCTTATTTTTCTAAATAATAGCCAATTAGGACTATTTGTTTTCTTGGCGCGTTTGTGTGCTCTATTTCTTTTTCGTATTTTTATACGTATAGTGTTATTCATAAATGGCTTATCATAAGGTCTTATAGTTACTACTTTTGTTGGGATATACCGTATTATTGTTTTATTTAAAACATCTAAAAAGCTTAGATAAATTTTATTAATATCATCATTATTAAAAACATTTTTTGACCAATCGACAGTTAATAATTCATTATTTAAACCTTCATAATCAGCAAGTCTATAATTTCTAATAGTTCTTTTTTATGTTAATTTTTTGTATGTTTTTATATTTAAAGACAAGATTATTGGTGAATGTTTACTGCCTATACGAGCCTTAACATTAGTATCTGATATAAGTGATTTTTTAGTAGTAATAAAAAGATCGATACACGAGTCGGGTAGCGTTGTGAAATTTGTGGGAACTTTTATCAAGTTTTCGAGATTTAATCGTTGTAATAGTTTTTTAAATTTAATACAATTACTCGAAGTACTTAGAATGTTAATATTAAAAAACCCTGTTAGAATGAGAAAGGGCCCACTATCAAGTGCATTAGATCTCGAAAACTTAATAAAGTTCCCACAAATTTCTCAACGCTACCCGACTCGTGTATCGATCTTTTTATTACTACTAAAAAATCACTTATATCAGATACTAATGTTAAGGCTCGTATAGGCAGTACACATTCACCAATAATCTTATCTTTAAACATAAAAACATACAAAAAATTAACATACAAAAGAACTATTAGAAATTATAAACTTGCTGATTATGAAGGTTTAAATAATGAATTATTAAATGTTGAATGGTCCAAAAATGTTTTTAAAAATGATAATATTAACAAAATTTATGAAAGTTTTTTTTAGATGTTTTAAATAAAGCATTAATACAGTATATCCCAACACAAGTAGTAACTATAAGACCTTATGATAAGCCATTTATGAATAACACTATACGTATAAAAATACGAAAAACAAATAGAGCACACAAACGTGCCAAGAAAACAAATAGTCCTAATCATTGGCTATTATTTAGACAAATAAGAAATGAAGTAATAACATTAATTACGGAAGCTAAAAATAGTTTTAAAGACAAATTAGAACAACAAATAAATAATAAAACCTTGCCTTCAAATAAATGGTGGAGAATAGCTAAATCTATTGCAAATTTGGAAATGAAAAGATAGCCACCTCCCAATTAATATTTGAAAAACGCATTTACACACACCCACTTGATAAGGCAAATATCCTAAACTCTCATTTTGCCTCGATTTCAAAATTAAATGATATACCTGACCTTCCATACTTTGCTTCTCGCTGTAACAACGAACTACAGAATTTTATTGTAAGCGAGCAAGAAGTGAAAGACCAGTTACTAATTCTTAACTGTTCAAAGCCTCCTGGTCCCGATAATATTAGTCAAGCTGTATTGAAAAAGATAACTCCATCAATCACAATCCCTCTCACTAAACTTTTTAATCTTTCATTCGAACTCCAATTATTACCTGATATTTGTAAGAATTCACATATCATTGCAGCGTATAAAGGAAAGGGTGATCCGCATTACCCTGACAACTATAGACCAATTTCATTAACATGCTCATTTAATGTAAAATACTAGAGAAAATCTTATTCAAAAATCTTTATAATTTTATAAAAGAAAATAACCTGTTATATCAGTCTGGTTTTCAACCCAACGATTCTACAGTAAATCACATTTTAGAAATTTATGATGTTATAATTAGTAATCTTGATAAAGGAAAGCAAATTAGATTTATATTTTGTGATGTATCAAAAGCGTTTGATAAAGTTTGGCATATAGGTTTATTGTCGAAATTAAAACAATATGGAATTAATAAAATATTATGTAAATCGATTGAACACTATTTAAGTAATAGACAACAATGTGTAGTTTTAGAAGGTTTCAAATCAAACTATTTGCACACCGATTCTGGCGTCCCCCAAGGAAATGTGATGGGTCCTTTTCTATTTTTAATTTATTTAAATGATATCTCCGATAATATTACTAACAACATACGACTATTCGCCGATGATACTTCACTTTTTACAATTATTCATAATGATCCTCTAAGTGGCACGAACTCTATAACTGAAGATCTGAATATTATCTCATCGTGGGCTAAACAATGGTGTGTAACTTTTAACCCCAATAAAACTAAAAATATTATTTTTACTAGGAAAACAACAATCCATCCAGACGTTATTTTTGAAATAACAAATGTTGAAAACGTAATTAGTCATTGTTATTTGGGTCTAATGCATTATGGTCACAACACATTTCAAATATATACCAGAAAGCTTGTGGTCGACTAAATATTTTGCGTATACTGAAATATAAAATTAATAGAATTTCACTTAATAAAATATATCTTGCTTTTATTCGCCCTATTTTAGAATATGGGATAACTGTTCAAAGAAGGATTCTGATCTATTATAAAGTGTTCAAACTGAAGCATGTAGAATAATAACTGGCCTTAGAAGAAATTCATCTAAAACAATTTATACAAAGAGCTTGGTTGGGAATCATTGTCTAATCGCAGAATAAAACACAAATTAATTTATTTATATAAAATGAAGAATAACCTAAGTCCCACTTATCTATCTGAAGCCTTTAAAAATTTGAACAGTCAATATCAATTTATAACCTTCGCAATGAAAATCTAAACCTCAATCTACCATTTTTTAAAAACAGTTCATATTCTAATAGTTACTTTCCTTGCACAATTAAACTTTGGAACAACTTACCTGAAAATATTAAAACCTCACAAACGTTAAGTACATTTAAATCAGGCCTTGCACGTGTGTATCCTGCAATAAGACCACCACTATATTATAATACTGGAAATAGGAAAGAAAATATTATCCATTGCCAATTAAGAAATAAAGCTAGTTACTTAAATAATTACTTATTCTACCATTTTATTAGTGAAATAAAAGTGTGCCCTAGGTATAATTCTGCCGACGAAGATAATAACCATTATTTTTTCATTTGTCCAGCATACTCTGCCCCAAGAACAATTCTCAAATAATCTACACCACTTTAAACAAAATGTTACAATTGACCTGATCCTATATGGCAACCCTGCTCTTCCAGACAATACCGATTCTAACATATTTGAAATAGTGCAAAATACATAAAAGACAGCATGAGATTTTAACACTTAACTATTTAAAACTTAAAATTACACTCCAAGAAATGTATATATGTTTGTAAACCACTACCTATACATATGTCCACCACTGTATTGTAAACATAAGATTAAACTATTTCATATGTTTGGAGAGAACTTATATAGGCCTTTGCCTGTTGTTCAATCCAATTCAGTTTATTGAATATGGATTAAATCGAATGTACCAAAACATAGTTTTTGAGGTTTCGCTGGTATTGGTGATGCGTTTTTTTTAAAAAAAAAAATAGACCAGATGCCATGCTGCACGACTCTTGTTGTTGTTATAGACCAGATGCCATGCTACACTGCTCTTGTTGTTGTTAGTAAAGAATTGATAATTGTTCGTAGATTCTAATACTCAATTCTAATTTTGAATATCTCGAGAAATATTTAAGATTTCCTTACTACACGTTTTACATACTACCAGGGAAATCACGACTTTTACTGAATGGATAAATCTCGGGGAATATTTCGAAAATTGATTTTTATTTACGAAGGTTTGTAAATAAGACATATCGGTTGCCATGGAAACACATCCGTTGAATAGCCCGATACAAATTTCGATACAATAATTATCTGAAAAATGAGTGTCGGATCACTGAGTGCTTAAACACATAACATGCTTATTGCAGAGGTGGGATTGCAGAGAGAGAGAGAGAGAGAGAGAGAGAGAGAGAAGAGGTCATTTCGGGACTAACACATAGTTCCGTTTTATTTCAATAATTCGGTTGCGCGTAGGGGTCTTTAGCAGTGGGAGGAAACCGGAGTACCCGGAGAAAACCGACGAGGTTGGACAGGTGACACTACTCCTTGTCACGTACAACCGGGAGTCGAAACCACGCCAGTTGACTCAGTGACAGACCTCATGATACAGGGCGCATGTGCTAGCCATTCGGTCATCCAATCCACCTCCTCGCCCCCACCCGCCCCTCCCCCTTCAAATGTGACATCGATTGTTCTATAAACAGTAGATACACCCTGCCTCGTACATGACACCTTTCAGAGAGAGAGAGAGAGAGAGAGAGAGAAGAGGTCATTTCGGGACTAACACATAGTTCCGTTTTATTTCAATAATTCGGTTGCGCGTAGGGGTCTTTAGCAGTGGGAGGAAACCGGAGTACCCGGAGAAAACCGACGAGGTTGGACAGGTGACACTACTCCTTGTCACGTACAACCGGGAGTCGAAACCACGCCAGTTGACTCAGTGACAGACCTTATGATACAGCGCGCATGTGCTAGCCATTCGGTCATCCAATCCACCTCCTCGCCCCCACCCGCCCCTCCCCCTTCAAATGTGACATCGATTGTTCTATAAACAGTAGATACACCCTGCCTCGTACATGACACCCTTCAGTAGTAAGCATAGTAATAATATAGCCATGGTTTGGAACTACTGTTTCGAGTATGACACCCATTACTAAACATTTAAATAAAGCAATGGTTTGAAACATCTGTATGACACAGGCCATTACTAAACATTTTGATAAATCAATAGTTTGGAGAAAAACCCGAACCAAATACCGAAACGCATCATTTAAATATAATGAATTTATTTCCAATTTCATTGTGCACAAAGATAGAACAAATATTACTTACCTATTTTACAAGGACAAAACTTACAAATTATCACAAATATTAGAACATATACAAGACTGGCCATGATGTATGAACTACTAAATTAATTTATAATATCCGTATAAACAATACACATCCTTGTTCAAGTTAAATCTAAGGTTAAAGTTCACATGAAATGATACCTGTCATAATGTTGGCGCATCAGGAAATTAATTGGTTTTCTCTTAAACGAAAAACAAGGGAAAAAGGTAGCCCGTTCGATCATAAGGCCGTCGTGGCGTAGTTTCGATTCCCCGCTTGTACGTGACAAGCAGTAGGGTTTTTTCCATTGTTTCCAGTTTCCTCCCATTGCTAAATACCCCTACGTTCAAGCGAATTATTGAAATAGCATTGCACCGTATGTTAGTCCTGAAATGACCTAGTTTGTGTCGAGCTGACGCTACCCCCCCCTCTCTAGGTTAATAATTGTGACCTCTAGAGGGTCCCCAACATTGTTATAACATACTTTTACAATATTTGCATACAGGGAGCAGCGATTTTGTCCGACAGTTTTTTTAGGGGGTGGGGTGGGGGTGGGGGTGGTATGTAGTGGGGGCCGGGTACTTCGGTTTCCTCTCACTCCTAAAGACCCCTATCAACATCGAGAAATCACAGAGGAACTCTCTCAATCAACACCAGGAATTCTTGGTTAGCGAGCCAGCTTCTTAATCACTTAAGGGGCCGGGGTCACAATTTCCAGACAACACCAGGACTTCTTGGTTAGCGAGCCAGTTTCTTAATCACTTAAGGCACCATGACTCTGGGTCACAATTTCCAAACACCTACAGGAGATCAGTGGGTGGGGGATCTGTAGTAATTACCTGTAACATGGTATCAACACCTACAGGAGATGAGTGGGTGGGGGATCTGTAGTAATCACCTGTAACAAGGTATCAACACCTGCAGGAGATCAGTTGGTGGGGATCTGTATTGTCTGTAATTACCTGTAACATGGTATCAACACCTACAGGAGATGAGTGGGTGGGGGAATCTGTAGTAATCACCTGTAACAAGGTATCAACACCTGCAGGAGATCAGTGGGTGGGGATCTTTAGTAATCACCTGTAACATGGTATCAACACCTGCAGGAGATCAGTGGGTGGGGGGATCTGTATTGTCTGTAATTACCTGTAACTTGGTATCACATCACAATTCTATGGATTACAGTCACTACGTGGGTTCAGAAGAATGGTTATTAAAAGAATGCTAAGAGGTCCTGCGTGTAGAGTATCAAAAGTTACTTTCGCATACATTGCACTGCGATGGATTTATTAATGCTAGGTTCCCCATTATCGTGGGATGCGTTGCGATGGGATTGTCCCTATTGATTCTACGACCTGGTACGTGAAGATACGTTCGGATACGTTTCAATACGATCAAAACGATTGCTACGTCGACTGACCTCAATATATGATAAGACCTGACAGGATCACCACGATTACTCCATGATTAAAACCACGACTTCAATCGCAGCGCGAATCGTGTTGTTGGGAACCTAGCATAAAAGAGAAATTAAAATACCTTGCTAACTCTTTGTCCTATAATCTAGTGTCATGAAAACAAATCAGGTATTATTTCTTAAAGTTTTCTTGAAGTAACTTGTCAATTGTTAAAAACAATCCCAGTCGTATCTCAACATTCGCTTTATCTCTAACTTGGAAGGATTACATTTCATAAAATACATTCGCTTTATCTCTAACTTGGAAGGATTACATTTCATAAAATATTTATCAATTATATGTAGGATAAAGCACAGCATAACCGAAGTCGAGGACTTTATCTTGCTTATAAACCGTCTATGTTTACCTGTACGCAAGATGAGAATATCCCAGAATTCCCGCAAGGAAAATCTTATATCGTGTTGTGTTATGGAAATAAAAGCTACCCTAGAAGAATACCCCAATGCAGGTTTAAAGAAAAACTTTCAGAAGAATAGCCCCGAATTTCCCTGTATATATCCAAAGCCGGCCCCGACTTTCAGATCGCAAGTTATTCCGAGCATAGAATATACCCCAAAGATCAAAGAGATTTACCGTCACAGGTTTATAAGTAAGTGTAACGTATTGAATGTTGGTTATTAAAGTGTGTTTGAATTAAAATGGTCGGCGTGAAATGTGAGGGGGGGGGGGGGCTATCTTGTTACTCTACATGTATTACCTTCATTTCGACACACAATCCTCGGCATAACATTTGTTCTCAACACATTTATGACATCAAAAATGTTCCACTTTCGAATGACAATCTTAAAAATTAAATTCCATACATAGCAATATTCAATAGTAAACGACAACCACCTAGCATTAAAACTAGTTACTATGGAACTAAATTCCAAACTTCAGTAATGTATATTACTTTTTCTACTTCTAAGTGTCACAGCCCATTTTGTACATTTTGCCAACATATGATGATTATTAATACTAAATTCATCTTTTCTAATACTAAATATACATTTAAAATTAATATTAATACGAATTATAGTACTACAAATGTATTTAATTAACATACAAGAAACGAAATATCACACATATACAATTAATCTTTGTAAAATCTGTCTCAAAATAAATAGATGAAGTATACTTACTAATTGCACATTTATCTTTTGTGAAAGGGTCGAGAAATCAAACTGATTATCTGCACTTAATCTAAGCGGAAAATGTTCTCGATCGAACTCATATCCATTAGTTAGAATCAAGGTTGGTTCTGCCTCGCTTAAGCGCATAATGTTAATCATTGAACTTAGTCAAGAAATTCACCTAATGAACATCACATCAAGTTTTAATATGTTACTACTAGAAGAATGCCCTGCTTCGCTCGGGGGTCATAACCCCGAAACCGGAAGTGGTAGACTAACGCCACCTGGCCTATTTTACTCCCCGGTCCGAACTACCCCTATACCCCAAATTTCAGACTCGGGGCAGACCTAGTGTAGCCGCCAACCCCGAAAAGACAGACAGACATACAAACGACAGTCACAAATATTAGTATAGATTAAACTTATTTTCCATACCAAAACAACTTTTTGCGGTAGCATTCTCCTTTAAAGCGGCCAGTTCTTGTTCCAAATTCATAATCAAGTTAGTCGTCACGTAATGCAACGGAAATAGGATTTATATTGATATCTTAAAAATATATATATATATATACTGGTATTTTATCTTCTTTGGTTTGTTATAAACACATTGACCAGTTACCTTTTAAAATGTTATTGTGATGGAAATTTACCAGATATTCTCTCAAGGCCAGTGTCCATATTTGGGTAATTAAGGTTAGAAAATCAGATGCAACTTGAATTCTTAGAAGTACCATGACGTGAGGTTACCATCAGTTTACTCGTTGTGCGAGTTGAGTGGGGTTCGGAGAAAGACGTGTTATTTGTAAGAATTATCACATGAAATGAAATGAAATGAAATGGCGTTTAACGTCCTACTGTTCTGTTCCGAATGGGCTTTAAGTATTGTAATGTAGTCTATTGTTTGTTTTGACATAAAACGTATACCAAAACTCTTCCTGTGTATATCTGATTTGGGTAATCGTATAGTAAACACATAACGTGAAGTTCAAGTGAAGTTCTAGAATAGAGAGACTTAAAACAGTATCCTAACAAATCAAACCAGTAGACGATCAAGGCTATATAACAAAAGATGTGTGGCCGTGTAGTGCTACACAGTTTACACAACTAAGTATATCTTCAAATGTGTGGCCGTGTAGTGCTACACAATTTACACAACTAAGTATATCTTCAAATAGATTTTACCGCTTTCCGGTGCGCAAAATGTGGTAAACTTTTCGGATGTTATACAGTACACATAACTAAACGCAAAAATGCATACATACATTTTCTGGCAATTTTAATAGGCGTAAAATCATAAATTGACTGGTCTACAATATGTAGGAGTCGTGCCAGTAAAGGTGCGTTGAGAATAACTTGATTCAGAGGGTTATGAGTTCTACCATCATTAATTGAATGTTGGCGGTAACTAACAAAATGTCTAAAAGATTTTCTTTTGTAAACAAATAGCTAATGGATTATACTTTTGGATAACAGAATCCGTTGGATAACAGAATGTACAGTTGGCCGGGATAATTAATTTGTGACGGCTTACCGACAGGGTCTATATGGATATCTAATCCGACAATACCGTCCATTACATCATTACATATTGAAGCACTAATTAAAATAATGCCCTGAGTCGGACAATACCGTCCATCAGATCATCCCAATCTTTGTTATAGATTGAGGCAGTAATTAAAATAATGCCTTGAGTCGGACAATACCGTCCATCATATCATCCCAATTAATATTAAGTTGACCCATGTAGACGATATTTGATAATATTATGAATTGATAATATTAGTATATATACGATTCATATGGTTTTTATTTTTAATAAGTTAAATCGTGGAAATTTCACAGTGTAGATGATATTTGATAATATTATGAATTGATAATATTAGTATATTTACGGTTCATATGGTTTTTATTTTTAATAAGTTAAATCGTGGAAATTTCACAGTGTAGACGATATTTGACTCAACTTAATATTAATTTTGGATCGTAAACATAGCAGATATCTTCTCAAATTAATTTTAATAATATTATCAAATATCGTCTACACGGCTCATTTTAATTTGCTGTGAACTATCCATGATTTAACGTATTAAAAATAACGTCTTCCAGGCAAGATACGCCCATATTTTGCAAGAGAAGGATGGAGAACAAACTAAACAAAAAGTGTTTTTTTCGTACAATCAAGGACCATAATTCAGGAAGTTACGATCCGATATGCGTGAATATCGACCGAAACCAAGATCTTTGGGTTATAAAGGTATATTTCATGCTTCATCAACATCGGATCAATACTATATTTACACTATTTGCGTACGAGGGGTGGCCATTTTGTCTGGCAGTTTTTCTGGAAATTCGAACTCCACCATCATCAGGGTGTAACCGTGATCTATTCAAATGTTTTTTTAATCGGATAAAAATTGTGACCTCTAGAGTGTTCACACACTAAAAACGTGATTTTTCGGGGCCATGGTC